CTTGTCACGCTCACAGCAAAGTTCTGTTCCACCTGTAGGGATGCACACTTCTGCAGGATTAGCACACATGCCACCCTGACATGCTAAAAAGTCAAGGTAAGAGACCCGTTTGAAAAAGTCACACTCACATTTTGCGACATTAATCCTTACAATTTTACGCGCAACGCCTAAGCATAAAGTGTTTTCCAGTTCTTTTCTGTAACTTTTTCATAGTCGTCTTTAGTATGAGGACTCAAAACATTCCATGTGAAAGGCTTTCAAAATCGTTTTCTGCAGTACAACCATGCAAAAGAAATATGAAACTTCTTGCGCTACTCAAGCCAAATTCTATCGACCAAATTTATCAAGTCTTAAATGGATTTCTTAGATTACTCTACCGGAGCAGTGGCAATGTTTTAGGCAATGTTCGCTACACATCTAAGGCGTATAATCTATTCTGCAAGTTTCTAAAAATTTATAGTCCCATCTTTATTTCGATAGTGTGAGAAGTGGTCTATTCTATAGAATTATAAACCTTAGACGAGTGCTCCATCTTCCCAACAAGTAAATCATACTCGAAGGGAACAAAGAAGTTTTAGGAAGAGGCAAAAACATGGAGTTTCATCATCTTGTACCCTCGTTTCCTTCTAGATGAATTCTCGAAGAAACACTATGAAAATAATTGTAGTAAAGTTCCACAAGTAGTACTCTTCAAATTTAGTATACAGTATACCTCTTCCTTTATCAGTTCGTAAAAAGCACATAATGCTGGGAAAGTTAAAAGAGTTAGCGCGATGACAGTTCGTGATATTTTTGTTTGTCGAGAGCACGCTCCCCTTCTTCATAGAACTTGGTGTATCACGAGAGAACAAGCTAACTTCTGACAAGCTGAAGGTTTTGGCATCTAACTCTTCTTACATACAGACTAGAGGGCTAAACGAGTTGTTGGAAGTTCGTTCTGAACATGCAATTAACGAAAGATTTATAAGAAATGGCATTTCAAGTAACGATGTAGAAATGCTATCTGTCATATCTGCCAAACCATGTTTCCCTACCTATAGCGTGGAAGAAAGTGTTCTCGAGCATTCAGCATAAACAATAATACAATGGCAAATTTTCAGCAAAGTCATCTTAGCATCTATGTGCAGTTTTTGCATCATTATTTTGAATACGCGCCCTTTTTGACAAGGAGTAGAGGCCCAACTTCTTACAGTACAGTGCTTGACAGATGCGGAAGTTAGATTT